GTTATTGAAGGACTTAATTTCTTATGCTGTATTCCATAGCAAACTCATGAGATTCCTGCAGATTTGAGAAGAGTCTTTTCCCAATTAGAAAACCACTCTGTCTTTGACACCCCTACATCAGCTGATCTAGGGATTTACTAGATGCAGGTTCCAAGTGTTTGGAAAGCTTGCATGGAAAAGCAGATATGCTGCCATGGTCCCTCCCAGCTCTGTGTCGAGGTCCTTGTTCCTATGCTATTGTGCTGATGCTGCTTTGGCAATTTGTGATAAGTTTTGCCAGCTGACCCCAGCCCAAGTCCTTCAGAGACTGTTCAATCTGCTTTTCCAGTAAGCTGAATTGAGGAGAAAAAAAGCTGCGTGGGAGAAAGAGTATTTAATTAGATTGATACCAGCCAGGGAAGGCAGGAGAGGGGCTGCTTGCTTGGGAAATCCAATTTGGTTTCACTGAATGTAGGAGTAAAGTTAGCTCTGTAATCTCTATTTAGCATCATTCCAGGAATGCCTTATTCCCATTTGCTTAGGTGGGTAAGACCCAGCAGAGGGTAGAGGAGAGTGCTGTGGAAGTTGTTCATTTGAACAACATGAAGTTCTATCCAAAGACTGGAATAATGAAAGGCATTAACTGTAACTGAGACTTCAGTCCCTGTCTGGATAGCAAAGGACAGCATGCGGTTGGGGAAAATGTCAGCTTTCCTTTGGGAAATCTCTTCTTAGATCTCTTCTGATGGCCTGAGCCCTGACTCCTCCTGGTGGGAAGGGGTTGGCTGCTCCCCTGTAGCACTCAAGGGATCCCACTGCTGGTCCAAAATGGTGAAGAGAACAGAGGATTGAAGCCTCACAGTTTGGGGGGCTGCATGTGGGAATGCTGGAAAAACCTGGCCTTGGTGGGAATCTGCAAATAGGAACATCTGTGGGATGGTAGTCTGTGTCACACCACATCCATCAGTACCTGACATGAACTGTTGTTGCACCTCTTTGCACTCTGCACCCACACACTCTACACCAGCTAAGCCAGAAATGATGGAGCCAGCATCTAATCCAGCACAGGCATGCTGGATTTGCTGGGCAGAGGGAGGGAGTGGAGGGAAGGATAGGGCAAGATGGTTCATCCATGTTGGAAGGCAGGAGTTGAAGTCTGCTGCTAATAAGCAGCTTGTACCCATGTGAGGGTGGGTTTGGAAAGATGAGTCTTTCTTTTCTGCAGCAGACAGCTTCATGTCTGACTTGATTTCCAAGCAGTGGTAGGGAGATTCACTGACTCTGTTATTTCCACTTTGATTCCCTTTCAGTTTGCTTTTCATCTGCTCCTCCTTTCTTTGCTGGGATGCTCACAGACCCCTTGCTGGGCAGCAGCACATCCTCCTCACTCTCAGCTGCACACAGCTGCTCAGCTGGCGCACTCGCCTCCCACTTGCCCTGATGCAAATCAGGCCCTGGGGAAAACGAGGTACACTGAGAATCTAGTCTGGAGTTTTCTGCAGAATCTGTGCAGGACCCAAACTACTTGTGAAACACTTTCTCAGTGCAGGACGAAACACTGGTGGTGCCAGCGGTGGCTTCCTCAGTGTCTCTGGTCAGTGCAAAGCTGAGGGAAGCAGAAGCCATTTGATGAGGAAAATTATTTCCATTTATAAATCCATGTCTGTATGTATTTTGAATTTTCTCCTGAAAAGCAGAGAAACAAAGTTGTGCCACAAATCCAGATACTGGATTTGGGTTTTTTGTTCCGTATTCTGTTCATGGAAACCCAAATGTTTCATTTCACATTTGAGTCTGGCCCAAAGAACGATTTTCAGCTGCCTGCTTTTCTGTTTCCAAATCAGCAATCTGCACAGTCTGTCTTCCCATTTGCAGTTGCTTGATAAAACCTTTCTACAAAGCCCAGCCTGGGGTTTGGCCCCATGCTCCTTATTTTGCTCTTTACTTGGGAAAAATTGCGATTTATTAATTTACTATCAGTATCGACTAAATAGTATATCACTGCTGGTGTCCCTCAGCTGGATGGCTCCCCAACCCACAGCAGGGCCAGGAAATGCTTCCAACCTCAAGACACCTGCTGAAGCACATTCATTTAAGAGCATCTGCAGTAAGGTTGAATTCACAGAATCTGCTGAGTTGGAAGGGACCCACAAGGATCAACAAGTCCAGCTTCTGGCCCTGCCTAGGACCATCCCCAAGAGTCCCACCATGTCCCTGAGACCTGAGAGTATTGTCCACTTGCCTTTTTTTTTTCATCTTCAGCCTTTTAAAACATGGATTTGAGACCTTCAACCTCTAGCATTACTGCCCAGTGCAAAGCTGAAGACAAAGTCCTTAATCAAAAGTGTTTGTTACTTTTTAAAAGTACTGCTTACTTTTAATTCTTATTTATTTCTTTAAGGACAAGCCAAGGCAGAATGGTTGCTGAGTTTGGTACATGAGCTGAACACACCTTAACTGCCTTCAGTTTGTTGCTTTAATGCTAATGCCAATGGAGCCACAGTTCAACATGCTCCGCAACTTTGCAATTTGTCTGCAGAAAGTCCTGCTGGGCAAGCAAAAGTTGCTCTGAGCTATTTTTTGTTTACTTTGGTGTTTTTTTTTTTCATTCATGCTTTACTGAGTCACCTAATGCAATTGGAGAAGCTGAGTGCCATTTTAGCCATGCAGCAAGATGGCCACGTCCTCACTGCAGGCTGGGATTTCTCTCAGCTCTCCTGGTTCCATTTACTTTGAGCTAAATTTCTGCAATTCCACCCCTGAGAACCCTAAATCCATCTTGTGGGATACATGAGGCAGGGCAGAGCAGCTAAGCTGTGCATCTATGGGGTGACCCCTGTATTTACAGGGTATTTCAGGGTATTAGAGGGTTTTCTGGGGGGAGCAAAGGTATAGCTGCTGCAAACAGAAGAGGAGGCCATCATCTCTGATCCCTTTTCCCTCTGTTTGGATGGATGGATACATATCATCCTCATGCACAGGTAACAATCAGTTCCTGTGAGAGCCCATTAAGCTTTAAGGTCCTTTTTTGTCTCTAGCTTGGACCTACTTTCACTGAAGTTGTAGGAGGTGTTGAATAAATATTGACAGTTTAAATAAAGTGTCACTTCTTCCCTGATCTTCCTCCTGTGAGGACACAGGGGAGAACTAGCTCACACAAGTTCTTCTCAATGCCCTGAGTTTAGCATCTGTTCCCATAAAACCTCTCTGTCTCCATCCCTGTCAAATGGCTGCTTCCCCTTGCAAAATATTTCAAAACATGGTTAATATTTCCTCTAAGTTAGTTTTGTTAAAAATATTTTTTCAGTAAGAAACGAGTAGTCATGATCATACTACTGAGGAGCCTTCCTGGTACCAGCCATGGCAATGCTTTCCAAAGCTAGGTTACAAATCTTGCTAGAAACTGATGCACAGTCCTTTCCTTAAAACCTGGATCAGGATGCTCCCTGTCTGGGGCAGGTGGGTTCTGGGAAGGGAAACGGGAGCAAAAAGTGACCTTCAAGCCATGGAACAGTGCCAAGTAAACTCACCTCACACAGGAACTCAGGCAGCTCCCATGGGGCACATAAGGCCACCTCTGGCTGGGAAGCCATGGTGGGAAGCACTGGGGAGAATAGGCTGCGGGAGAGGTTCCATGGGCAAGGCCTCATGCTTGGGGGATGCCTTTTGACATTAAGGCAAGGATATGTTGCAGAGAAACATGTGGAGTGTCTCTGGTCATGCCAGCAAGGGACCTGGGCAAGTGTCCCCTAAACTTAGTCTTCCCCGTGTGTCCATGCCTAACAAGCACTTGTTCCCCTTCTGTGCTGGGGTCCCCCATTTGACCGTGCTCAGGGAATGCTTTTGGCCTTGCCATTGCATTAACATCCTGACAATAGTTTTTCTGAGATCCAAAAGGGACGCCAGGTTGCTGTTCAGGGAATCCCCATATTGAGCTGCTCCTATGCTGCTGTTTAAACACATCAGCTTCACACTGTCTCCTTTTCCTTCACACACTGAAAAAGCTGGACATACCTGTGTGATCTCTGTTGTGATCTCTCTGAAAGAATGTGATGTGCAGACCTGATACCTCCTGACTACAATGCAACTTCTAGTTCTTCAGGAGGGTTGGTTTTTTTTTCTCTCAGAACAAATAGGAGCCCGCTCTGGGCAAACATTAAATAATTTTTAAAAGCCTTTTCTACTCTACTTCTGAGAGCCTCTCTAAAGCAATCAGCATGTGCATGAAGTTGAAATATGTATATATTGAATCAAAAGCAACCTGGAAGAAACTGTAAGGGATCTCAAAAGAGATAATAATGATTCTCAGAGTACACACAGAGACACCCAGTCCATCTCCAGGTACCTGAAATCAATGCAGGTGAATACACAGGTGACATTCAAATCACATGCTCTATCAGCAATGCTACCTTGAATCCCAGAGTTTCTTCTTTTGATTAGTATTATAGGAGGAAGAGAGCATAGTTTTCTATCCATCTTCACTGTGTGGCTCTCCATTCCTCCGAGGGAAACTCTTCTGGTGGCTGGGAGGGATGAGATGGCAAGAGATCCCTGCCCGATGCTGCTCTGCTTTCCTAAACAGAGCAGGAGAGTTTCCATTTTAGAAAACTTCTTTTTCCCCTCCTCTAAACTCCACTTTTCCGGAGTCGCACACTTCCCTCAAGGCACATTTGCCTCCCTTCGGGGAGGCTTGAAATTTTAAAGGACGTCTGCGAGCGGCGCGCCCCTGCGGGGTCGGGTGTCCCCATCCCACCTGGAAGGCTGAGGTCCGTCCTGTCAGCCCCTGTGCCCGAGCGCACCCGGGGCCGTGCGGGCGCGATGCGGGCAGTGCAATCGGTCCGACGAGCCCCGCGGGGCTGTGCCTTACGCGTGGGGAAGGGGGACTTTCCCCTCGCGACCCCCACCCGCAGGGCCGCCCCCGGGGCGGGGCCGCCGCCCTCAAAGCCGGTGCGGCCGGCGGGGCGCGGGCAGAGCTGGCGGTGCGGGGCGCGGAGGGTGCGGAGGGTGCGCAGGGCGGGCGGGCAGCACCATGGAGAGCGGCGCCGAGGGGCACCTGGACGCCGCCGCCTTCCTCGGGGCCTGGCGGCTCTTCGACGCCGACGGCAAGTGGGGGACGGCGGGGAGGGGGAACACGCGTGTCTGGAGCCCCAGGTGGGGTGTCTAGCGGGTGGGCGGGCTGCCTGTGCGGGTGGGTGCCGCGCAGGGGTTTGGCCGTGCTGGTGGGCTGCCCATCTGGGTGTGCGTGCGGGTGAGTCCGATGTGGGGTGTTCGGGCTGTTGCATGCATAAGGTTGAGAGCCTGCACCAGTGGCTTTCTGCCAACACGTCCAAACTTCACCCCCACGAGGTCCTGGGGGTGTTTCTGAGCCCACCTCTTCCTCCTTATTGTGGCTAAATATCACATCTGTAAATCCCCCTTTTCACCCCAAAGTTTTTGCCTTTTCATCGCCTCCCTGTTCTGTCTGCTGTTCCCTCTTCTGGGGCCAGTTTGTGGAATTTTTTTTTTCCAGAAAGTTTTCTGCGAGGAAAATTCCTAGGGGCGCCCAGCAGCGCTGCACCCAGTCCCTACATAGACGTGACCAGGTCAAAACGAATAGGACCTTCCTGAGTGGGCAGGCAGGGCCCCCAGCTGAGATCCTGATCATGCAGCCTGGAGCTCCCTGCATGCAGCCCATGAAACAGTTCCTGGAACTCGGGCAGTACCGCCTGACCATTAATATATTTGACTTTTATTCAGACAATGGTTACATAGAAGGCAAGGAACTTGACAACTTTTTTCATCACCTCCTGGAGAAACTGGGACCAGAAGTAAGTACCATGCTGCATTAGTTGTGCATCAAGTCCAAGTGAAAAGGTTGTGCTGAGAGGTGGTTTGTGTTTGTTCCTGATTGCTGACTTCCTTAGCGATTCCAAGGTAAAGAGCTTTTCTCTTGGCAACAAGGTGGCATTTAAGCAGGTACAATAAGTGCAGTCACCTGAGAAGTTTGATCACTTGTTTTCAGCCCAACAGCTGCTGTCAGGGTGAGGTCGTAGCTGGCACCAGCTGAAGGGTCTGGTTGGCAAGGTGGAGAGAAAGTCATTTACTGCCTCTGAATAGAAACAAACAAAAAAGCACCAGCACACAGCCTGGCAGGGTGAGCAGGAGGGCAATGGTGATGACTTTCCCAGGTCAATTTTTAACAAATAGAGTGTCATTAATTTTGAATGTTATTTAGTAATAAGGCTTTTGTCTGTATTGCTGCAAATGGTTAGAAGCCAAACAAGTGAATTCTGTTGCTCCTAAGATCCAGACCTGGCTCTCAAGTGTTTCTGGGGTAATGTCCTGGGTTCCTTTCCTATTTTTGGCAACATTTCCCCTTTCTTGCATCTCAGTACTAACAGAAATTGCATGACAATTTAGAGGGACTGGTTTCTTTAGCTCCAGGTCGTACATTGCCTACAAGTGTCATCATCAGGGAAGGAGAAATCCTTCCACTCAGGCCAGCACTCAGAAGCATGTAAAGAATATATTTATGTTTTTGCTACACAACATGTGTCCAGATAGGAAGAGAAAAGGAGGAAACATCTTCCAAATGGAAGAAGAGGGTGTGCCAAAAACCAGAGATTAAACAATTCCTTTAAGCAGAAAGTAATTAACGAAAGGAAAAAGGTAGTTGATAAAAGGCATAAATTGATGAGTATCAAGTGTAAAATCAGAATTGTACTTACAAGCCAATTAGCACTCTTGGATCTTTAGGGCTACAATAAAAAAACAGAGGCTGTGAATAATTTTTTCAAGCATGGTTTCATTTAATTTGTAAGTAAATTTGGATTGAAATATTGGCAGTTCCTGCAGAAACATCTTTCAGAGAGTGGATGGTTAGATGAACATATAGGCACCTAAAAAGGCTTCAAAGTAAATCAAAAAAGATTCAACATTAAGCACAAAGAATCATTAGGGATGCAGAAAAACTGATTGAAGAGAAATTGAAAAGCTCATGATTGTTTACCCAGGAACAAAAGAAGAAATTGGGAGCTGCTAGTCTTGGGGCATTGAAACACTGATGCAAAGCATACTCAAGCAAACTCAGTGACAGGAAACATGAGATGTCGAAGGAGAGGCTTAAAATGAGGCTGCAGAGCTCAATGCTGCAGTGGGTCACTGAAGAAAAGGACCCCCATGTGGGGCTCTCTGGAGTGATCTGTAGATGATTATAAAACTGAGGTTTAGCTGGGAATCTCGTGCTGCAGGCAGCTTCCTAATGATGAGAGGTCGAGGAGAAACTCCAAGCCCCACTCTAGCCCGTAGCTTCCCTTGTGCATCCCTTACACGAGATTTTGGGACAGCATCACACAACACCAGCCGAGTTGCAAAGCTGGTGTATGACAGCAGTTTTTGTGGTCTTGCTGATATCAGTGTGAACTCTATCACATTGTGTTAGGTTGCATGTAGAACTTGCAAAATGAGGGTGGTCTAGAAATGAACTTTCTACTTCAAGAAATCAATAATAGTTTTATTTGTTGTTAAAAATCCCTGCTTGGATGACTCCAGCCTAACTCTCCATCCTCATCCAGCTTGCATCTCCTTTGTTTCTGCTGTCTAGGTTTTGCCATTAAAAAGAAATAGTTTCATACAAATTGAATGAGGAAAGAACCAACTCCCTCTCCTCCTATTAAACAGAAGAAATAGGCTAATTCTGGAAGACAGTGCTCACTAACTTTCAGGGTGCTCAAACAAGCTCTCAAGGGCTTTTGGTTTTCTGCCCTAGTTTTCTTGCCTATTTTTGGCAACATTTCCACTCTGGTAGTATTAGGGACAAAAATACCCAGCAGGCAGTAGCCACTGCAGCCTGCCTTGGTGGCAGAAAACCCCGGGGGAGCTTTGTCCTGGGAGGCTGAGAACAGTTCTCTGCCTTCTCCCCTGGGTACGGGGATCACCTGTTGCACCAGATTAAACAAAGATCTCTACTACCTTTGTACAATGAGTTTGTCTAACAACGTTGAGGCATTTTTTGTCTTCTTCACATGATTTGTGTTGTACAGGCTTGTGCTTATGGCAGGAGGAGTAAAGGGTCCCCTCTGCACTGTTTTTGCCACCCTACAGAAAGAAAGTGTTCTTTGTGATAGAAGCAGTGAGCTGGGACTGAGCATGTCTCTTCTTTAATGTTGACCTTTACTCATCTGGGCTTTAAATGTCTCTGTTTCCTTGCACAGTGAAAGGGTGAGACAGCAATACACTGGCATAACTTACAGATGCGTCGCAAGGATTAATTAGTGACTGCATCTGAAGTGCCACACAAGTGATAAATAATGTTATCAGCACTGGAAGTTGTCTCTGCTTGAATAGCGAATGGCTTCATAATTATATTTTTTCAGCCTGCACTCTCTAAGCTGTTATTTTTCTTAATGACCACTGTAGTCTTTCAGCTCTGTTTTTCTTCCCAACTACTCTGCACCCTCCGCAGCTGACACTAAATGCCAGGGGATGGGAGCAGCTGGGAAAACAATGCAAAAAGGAGCCTGTTGGGAAGCTGAGAGGCACAGCTCTTTCTGACAACTCTGAGTGAGGAAAGAAATTCGAAACAGCATCCAGTGAGGGAGGCTGATTCATTGCCTTTTGCTGAACCATCAACAGTTATGGGGGTGGAAGGGAAAACTTTGCAGCAAAGGTAGACCTGTAGTACACCAATCTAAATTCCAGATACTGCTTTGGTGCTTCTCCTCCAGCAATGGGTGATTGCTAGAGGCTTTTGGACAATGCACCTAACAACATGCTTTAACTTTTGGTCAGCCCTGAGGTGATCAGGCAGTTGAAATAGATTGCCATTGTAGGTACCTTCCAACCCAAATATTCTGTTCTATTCTATTCCTAAGAAAATAGCTTCAATTTCCAGATGTGTGTTACATATCCGTAAGTCTTCTGTGATTTATGACACTGAAGTTTATGCAAATTCTTCATCAGCTGGAAAGGCTTCTGTGATTTGGTTTGTTTGGGGAATATGAAGCACAATCAAGGATAATTCAGCCTCTCCCCGCCCCCCCCAGCATATGTTTGTGAACAGCTGACATTTTCCATCTGCTACTCTTATTACTCCTGTATCTTCTTTCTAACCATTTGAACCTCCAGCTTCCAACCTGTTGCTGCATGGCTGCTGTGAGCTGCCTGTGTTCTCTTCTGCTCATTCATAAACCTCTTCTAGAATATAGCCACCTCTTCCATGCATTTTCTAAAAGTTTCTATACTGAGGTGAAAGCTCAGGGGAAAGGACAGTTTCTTTTAGCATCAAAGAAGTACTTTTTTTGGAAGAGAGCCTCTGCATTTCTCTCTTGTAATAGTTTACATCTTTCTTTCCATATCAAGATAATTTAGTATCTTTCTTGCTTGCTCTTTTGTATATTTTTAATGAAGCTCTGTGTATATTCTTATAATATTTAGATAAGAAGAGTTTTGTAGATGAATGGCTATAAATTTTGGGTTTGGATTACTGAAAGTTTTCATAAAAACAATGATATCTGGGCAGATATGGAGGGAAATGCACATTGCCATTGGGTTTTCTCAGAAGGGTATTTCACTTTGCTTAAATTGTACTCAGACAGAAGACTTTCAGATAAGAGACAGTTGTCCTCAACTAGCTGTAGATGTGTGAGAGACCATGTGAAACGTTATTGAAGCATAAATTTGATCAGATAAGACAGGTATTAGCCTGGTTATAATTCCTCTGCCCCAAACCTACATGGATAGTTATGACTGGAAGGGACAGAAGTTACACTTTAGGACCCCACCCTCAACAGCCACGGAGGATTTGTCTTCACATTTTACTTCCAAAGGAGAGGAGCATCCTCCAGGTACTCTTGCATGTCATCCTTTCCTGCACACTGCATTGCCTATCTAAATCATGTGTTTAATTTAGTATGGGTAGGAATGCAGCAGTTAGTCAAATGAAGTTTTTTATGGCCAAAATATCAGCTAGCATTAAAGCCATCCAAAGCAGATTTCTCCTGTGTTTTACCATCCCAGGAGACCTAAGGTCTTTGGTGACCAGCAAGAAGACCCCTAGCAGAAAGCATTCAGCTTTCATCTACATGTAGAATAATTCAGAATTCTAACCTCTAGGCAATACTCTAGACAATTTAAATACTCAGAAGGAATGCTTTACTGTGAGGGTGGAGAGGCACAGAAACAGGTTGCCTAGAGAAGCTATGGATGTGCCATCCCTGAAAGTGTTCAGCACCTGGTCAGATGGGGCTTTGAGCAACCTGGCCAAGTGGAAAGTGCCCCTGCCCAAGGCAGGGGGGTTGGAACCAAATGATCTTTGGGGTCCCTTTTGATTCAAACCGTTCTATCATTCTAAATAATGCCAAATGCAGTTATTTCTTTAGGTTGTGGGTTTTGTCAGCCTTAATTAGCCTGAACAGTTCCTATTTCTGTTCCTTCAAGTTAAGGCAGGGAAGTGCCTCAAAGTGTCTCTAAATGCAAACTCAACATGCCTATGGGTGAAGAGACATGATGTGTTTTCATTACCCAAATGCATGTCAGAAAATTTTAGCCTAGTGGAAAGGGCAGAACAAAGAACCTGTTCAAAGCCTAACCACAAAATTTTGATGGCACAAGGAAGGCTATAGTAGCCTTTGTTAGATGCTGGTATCTTTTACGTGGAAAAAATCTTTCCCACATTTGTGCTGATGAGAGCTAAAAAAGGAACCAAAACAGGGTGCAGGCTAACAGGATAAGTGCTTATCTACTGTAGCATGCAGGATTACAGTAAATCCTAACCAAAACAGAGGGCCCAACTCTAAGGTGATAGCACTGCAGTTAAGTAAGCACGATT